TATACTATTATTTTTATTAAATTATCTCTATTGAACATTTTTCTAATTGTTTTAAATTAACACTAATGCTTTTGATATATGCTTTCGCGTTGATTAAATAGTCGATATTGCACGACTGGGACGATGCTTGAAGATTCTTAAGCGATGTAAAGAGGCCATTTCAAATCAAGCCAAAGGAGTTATGATAAAAAAGATGGTGATTATAATAAACATGGTACTGATGGAAAATGATAAAGCGAATGATGATGATTATAAAACAATCGAAACTGTTCCTCGATATGTTGTTGGTGAAAGGTAGAGAGAAGCGAGAAGAAGAATGGTCTAAACTATTTTCTGTTGCGAGATTCAGCGACTATAAAATTACTCCTGTACTAGTTTTAAGATCTCTCATTGAGGTTTACCCTTAATTAAAAAAAAGTTGTATTTAAAAGCTCTTAGCTAGTTAACACGTTCTATTTTCCTTAAGTTATAAGTTAAATACATATTAGGAAGCAAAATTCTTTTTTCCCTCCCTAAAATAAAAATTGTTCAAAAAAAACTATTATTTCTATCATAATTTTAATAAATTTACTATTTATTTATTATTATAGTTATTATTATTATTATTTTTTTTTGTTGTATCAGTCATGGTTAATATTATTTCACTAACGCATGGAATTAAAAGTCATTATAAATATGTACGAACCAAACGACGTTAGTGGATAAAATATAATTATTATTCCTAAAGATTCTAAGTTGGAGCATAATATTTGTTTGGGTGTTTGAATGTTTATTATCAATTGATTGAAGATTTTTCCAAAAAAAATTACTTTATAGTGATCTCTTAGTACTAATAAAATGAGTTATGTATATATATTCACAAAATGCATGCTTATTAGTTTCAAAATTAGTGAGTCAAAGGCATAAAAATATATAAGAATAAGTTGCTTTTGGTTTACCCTCGTAAACATCTAGAGAAATAATAAAAATTTAAGAAAGTCTAGAAACCTAAAAAATGATGGCATGTGAAAGGTCTTGCGTTGATTTCAAATATTTATATTTTAAATAAAGTAGATAGTTTTATATATATAGAGAGAGAGTAGATAGTTATTATAAACTTTAGACCTAAAACATATATTTTGGCATTCTTCAACATTTAAAAAAGAAAAAAAGAAACTGGTGTATGATGTTTTTCATATAATATTTAGTATAATTATAAAATTTATTTAATTATAATTTGCATTACTAAAAATGATTTATGAATAAGGTGGTAGAGTGTATGACATTTACCACCTTATTCATAAATATACGACATAAAAGGTTTTAATATGAAATAAATGCTACATTGGCTATCCAGAGAGGATTTGCTTGTAATTCAAATGTTGGATATATGCGTTGTAAGCCAAATATATGCCATGATGTTAATGTACATATATTAGATTATGTTGAAAAGAATAATTTGTATGCCTATATTTATGAATAAGGTGGTAAATGTCATGCTAAGTGACAATTCTATTGAATTTAGTAAGGAAACTATATTATGCTTTGTTCTGTTCTGTTACAAATTCTATTACATGTATACATTTGGCTTTGTTATATGTACAAGATGAATAAACACTGAGCATTCACTACTTGTTAATTTAGACGCTCTATCTTGCTCAGTTAAGTATGTGATTCTCGCATTATGGTACACTCTGCTCTGCTCGCTTCTGTTGTGTTTGGTCATGTTAATAAGGAAAGATAACTCTGAAATTAATAACAAATTATTTACGTTAATAAGTGGAACATACTAGGTATAATTGACGTGTAATAGAATCTTTATACATCTTTATCATGTCTCTGCACCTCTGACGATGCCTTTGACACTTTTATTAAATGTTTCATTCCTCGGACAATTAGATCCTCAATGCTTCTTGCATTCTTCTTGGAAAAGTTTTCATAACACGTTTTTCAGAGGCACATGCATGGTAGCATTTGTTCATCAAATCCTCATTTGCTCCTTGAGTAAGGAAAAGCACTATCAAGCTTTTCCACGGCAGAAATAAAGAAACCATAAATTAAATAAACAATAAACAAGGACTGAATTAAAATAATATTGAGATTAAAAGCCATAAATGAATAAATGCAAAAACTAAAAGGTGTAAGTATAAATAAGTTAAAATTAAATGTACTGGAAAGTAAATTGTGGAAACTTAAAGTCCTTAATACAATAAATCAGAAAATAGAGGACTGGAAACAAAAACAAAACAAAAGTAACAGATATTTCTACCCGTAAAAGTAACAAAATAAAAGTAACAAATAAAAGTAATTGGTGGAGTTGAATTTATTAGAGTTACGTAGAGTGATTAAGGTTAGAGGATGGTTTGGCTCATTAGTGTTGGGGAGTGTATTTTTAGAGTTTTGCATCACTCTCGATTATAATCCTGCTGAAGCCCTTGTCTAATCAAATTGTAAACCCTATAGAGCAGCTAATGTCTAGGCCATGAGGACAGAGGTGACTGAACAGCTCATGTATGACAAGAGTCTAACTAAATTTGTAACTTACCTGAAATTTTAATAACAAGCAAAATTGAAATTGAAACAAAATTAAAATGACTTACCTAAATTTGAATGGTCGTTAATCAATTGAGGATTTTTATTAAAAATTTATTTTGATCAAAATTGAAACATTAAAAGTTAAAGTTATAAGAAAATAGAGGTTAAGATTACGTGATATGACTGACATACTAATATAGTATTTTTTTTGTCTTCCGTTGATCTTATAGGAAATAGACTTAATGACTAACTAATCAATCTCACTAGCAGCCTTCTTTGTTTGGGTTTTCACTAAACACTAGCAGCTTCCTGAATGGACCATGGCCATTTTTTTACCAATATAGTCATGCAATTTGATCAATTTTCTATAATAGTCGTGCAATTTGATCAATTTTCTATAATAGTCGTGCAATTTGATCATTTTTCTATAATAGTCGTGCAATTTGATCATTTTTATATAATAGTCGTGCAATTTGATCATTTTTTTAAGACGGAATTTTTTTTTACTATTTTTGGACCAAGACAGGGCACCCTCTGACGCTGTCTTTGTTTGAAATATTCATGTATGGTATATTTAACCCCTAGATTTAATATTAAACTAATCCATATTCTTATTGGATGAAAAATTATGAAGAAAAAAAAGAATTGCATGTAGTTGGGATGGAACGAGTTGGGACGGGTGGAGACAGTCATCCTTGAAAATTTAAAATTATAATATATTTTAGAGTTTTTTTATACTTTTTATTGAAAATTTATTTTCGTCTCCCTAGAATTTTATAAATTTATCCCCTCCTAAAGTAAGTCCAAGATCTAATTATTGAATTGAATCAAGTAATTATTACATTGTTGAGAAAAATGAATATTTAGGTTGAGCTGTAGTTTTATTTTTATTTGAAAAATAATAATAATTTTATAAAATTACTAATTACATATGTATTTATGAAAATATATTAGTTATATCATAAATTATAAAATATTATAAGAATATATTTATAATATTATAAAATATTTTAAGAATATATGTATAATATAATTAATATTATAGATTGTTATAAGAATATATAGATAACATTAATTAATAAAATTTTCATTGTGTTGATTTTATAAATTTTAAATATTTTTTTATATTGAGTTTGATTAATAATTTATAATTTTTCCATTTTAAGGAACATATGTTTAAGTTAATATAATTTTATAAAGATATTTATTTTTTGGGTACAATTTTATAGAGATATTAATAACAATAATTAATGAAAATTAACTTTTAAATAAACTATGTTTTAAATTAATATTGAAGTATATTTATAACATGGTTTGATGGGATGCTAACTATTGATAATTATCAAATTTTTTAAGTATATAATGGTTTTTGAGTAAAATACGTAATGTTTGTTTATTTTGGGTAAACTACACGATTGATCACTTTCGTTTAAGTTTTAAATACTTTTTTCGCACTAAATTTAAATATATATATATAATATTTAATCATTTTCGTTTTTATTTAATTAAAATGTAATCACCAAGAGTTAACTACCTATAGACTTTAACAAATTGTTGATGTGATATAATTAATTTATAAAATTAAAAAGGATAAAGTACACAAGTGGTCACTAATGTTTGAATAAATTATTGTTTTTCCCACTAAAGTTTCAAAAGTGGCATATTAGTCACTAGAACATCAAATAGGTCCTAGAACAATGATTTTATATCTAATTGATTCCACAAGTTCTCTAATTTTTTTGTTTATCATTTGAAATATTTGATTGCCTTATGTCCAAAAAAGTTAATTTCTAAGTTCTATTTTTAAAATCTAAAAAGTATATATATATGTTGGAAAAATAGGAAAAAAATATAAAGTTTTTGGAATAAATTAGATATAAAATTATTGTTCAATGTCATATTTGATGTTTTGGTGAACATTTTGTTACATTTAAAACTTTAGTGGAAAAAATGAAAACTTACTCAAATATTAATGACCATTTGGTATAGTTTACACTTTTTAATTCTATAAATTTAATGTATCACATCAGCAATTTGTTAAAAAGGGTTTAACGTTAGTTAACTTGAATTAAAGAAAAAAGAAAGTGGCCAAATATTAGTTTTTTTTAAATTTAGTAAGGAAAAGTGTATAAAACTTAAACATAAGTTATCAATAGTATAGTTTACCCTACTTTAAAATATGTTAGATATACTAGAAGCAAGCGACCTCAATGTTTAAGAGAATGATTGTTATCTTTAAATATTCTCGGTAAGAGCATGTTGTATGCAGAGATGTATGATCCTTCATTGTTAAATGATTGAGACTCTTTCGAACAGATACTACCTTGTAACACCTGAGGCTAATAAAAATATTTTATATAAAAAAAAAGACAAACATTAGAGGTCAAAAGGTGTATTAAACCGAATAGGAAACATGACAACAAATCTTAGTATATAATAGTTTCCATTCTCGGATCAGTCGAGTTAACAATTATTGGTGTATCGTCGTCTTTAAACGTCTGTTGTTTGATTTATGATCTTGAAAAATGGAGCTCTTGAACGTAGCCAAATTATCCAGCAACCCACTGTTTCCATCTCTGATTCTCCTTTTCTCCCTTTTGATTTGGCTTAAACTATCAAAAAAGAAACGCTTGAATTTGCCTCCATCACCCCCAAAGCTGCCCATCATCGGCAATATCCATCAGGTTGGCAAAGTCCCCCACCGCTCCCTCCGAGACCTCTCGAGGAACTATGGTCCTCTCTTGCTTCTGCAGTTGGGGTATAACCCAACAGTACTGGTTTCATCACCCGATTTGGTTAAAGAAATTGTCAAAAACCATGACATAATTTTCTCCAACAGACCAAAGACCACATCTTTAGATTTCTTGTACTACGGTGGAAGGGACATGGTTTTTTCACCCTACGGTGAGTACTGGAAACAAGTGAAGAAGATCAGCGTTCTTGAGCTTTTCAGCCATAAAAGAGTCCATTCATTTCAGTTCGTAAGAGAGGAAGAAGTTGAAGTTCTCATTAACAAAATCCGGTGTGCTTGTCTTCAAGGTGAATCTGTTAATCTGTCAGAGATGCTTATGTCGGTTTCGAGTAACATAGCTTCTCGATGTATTCTGAGTCACAAAAGTGAAGACGAAGGTGGGAGCAGCAAGTTCGGGCAGTTGGGTAAAAGTCTGTTGATTCTCTCAAGTGCTTTATGCATTGGTTATTTGTTTCCTTACTTGGGATGGCTCGATATTCTTACTGGATATATTCCCAGTATGAAAGCTTTGTCTGCGGAATTTGATGCATTCCTTGATCAGGTAATTCAGGAGCATAGAGGTCTTGAAAGTAGTGATGACCAAGTTTCAAATAAAAAGGACTTCGTTTCTATCATTATGCAACTCCAAAAGGACCGCATGTATGACATGGACCTCACACAAGACAACATCAAAGGAGTCTTACTGGTTATTCAACACTTCTTCCCTAGCTCTTTTAACTCTTTTTTTATTCTTTTTTGGCATAATGACAAAAATACTTTTAATATTTGATTGAATTATCATTTTGATCCTATGTTTTGGAGCACGTTAATTCCAACCTTTTATTTTGGGATAAAATATCTCAAATTAGATAGGAAAAGTGATGTTGTGACACATGTTATGTGTAAATAAATGATGACATGGCACATGAAACATATACACAAATGATGACATGGAACATGTCACGTGTTCAAACTAATGATATAGTACATGTCGCATATCACATGTACATAAGTGATGATGTGACACATATCATATGTTCAAAGTAGTGATTTAATTAGCACATATCATATGTACATAAGTAATGACATGTCACGTGTCAAATCATCACTTTAGACACATAAGATTTATCACGTCAACAATAAATATTAATCATTAGTTTATTAACGGTTTTCATTCAATCAGGAGACATTTTGTCTCAAAATGAAATGCAAAGAACTTAAATACTTAAAAAAATAGAAACTAAAGTGACTATTAGAATTAGTATTAGTATTATACATTTCCTTTTTTACTCCTTAATCTAATGTGTTTAATTCTGATAATCTCAGGACATGTTCATAGGAGGAACTGATACCACTAAAGCAACAATTGAATGGGGAATGACTGAGCTCCTAAAGCATCCAAATGTGATGAAAAAACTCCAACAAGAGGTAAGAAATGTGATGGGAAACAAGTCTAAGGTAGAGATGGATCACATCAACAAAATGAAATACTTAAAGTGTGTAATCAAAGAAACTTTAAGACTCCATCCCGCAGCTCCTCTTCTAGCTCCTCGACGAACATCAGCAAGTGTTAAATTGGGTGGATACCACATTCCTTCGAATACAACAATCATCATCAATGGATGGGCCATTCATAGGGATCCCGAGAGGTGGGAAAATCCAGAAGAGTTTATCCCAGAGAGGTTTGAGAATAGTTCCATTGATTTTCAAGGTCAAGATTTCCACTACATCCCATTTGGTTTCGGAAGAAGGGCATGTCCGGGGATGCCATTTGGGATTGCTTCTACAGAGTATGTGATGGCCAACCTTGTCTATTGGTTTGATTGGAAGTTACCGGCGGGTGAAACTACAGAAAATTTTGACATGAGTGACACGTATGGCATCACACTCCACAAGAAAATCCCTCTCCGTGTTGTACCCGTAACTCATTTATCTTTTTAGATATGGTTTTAGGGATTTAACTCGATTTTCTTTGGAGAAAACAATATTTTCATCGTTGGTCGTTGTGGTAGTATTTGGTTCTTGTGTACGTTGTTTTTATTAAAATATATATATCTTAAGTTTTCGATTTCAATTGAGGTATTTCAAGATGCATTGAAAATATAATTAAATAAAAGCTCATACATAAAAAGACATATTGGTCTAAAAATACTTCGATCTCATTCGAAAAATCGTTGTAAGTCACTAATGTTCCATCCTTTAAAAACAATTTCAATTTTTTTGTCAAAATTCATCTCTTTTATGCTCGTATTATAAAGGATTATCTATAATAAATCTCTATAGTATTTAATTTAAATTAGTCAATCAATATTAGATTCTTTGATATAATAAAATGGACAAATTTTATTAGGTTTCAAAGGGATGAGTTATGGGTTCTGCAATAGAGTGAGGATTATTGTAGAAAAAGGCTTCTTTGGAAGCATAATGTTATCTCTTTAATTATTATAATTATGGCTGCAATTTTACCCTAATTAGTAAAACTACATCTGCAACTGCCATCGTCAACATGAGGAAGATCAAACACAATGCACTCTAAGTGTGGAAATGCATCGACGATGACTTTAAAATTTTAGGGGACAAACTTTTAAAATTTTAGGAGAGAACTAATTTATAAAATTCTAAGGAGCGAGTTCTTCAAATATTAAAAGTTACAAAATAATCCTCTAAATATTAAAAGTACATGAATGATCTCTTAATTGTAGGGTGTTACTTTGTTGAGTTCTTCGACTATTAAGAGTGTTGTTTATTGAGTCCTCCAACTACTAAAAATTACATGATGGTCACTCGACTATTCATATGTTCCAAACTCGTCCTTATATATTAAAAAAATTGATAATTATTTTGAGTTGGACATTAATATGATAAATGGATGTGATAGAATCTGATCTCAGAACCGTTTGAGCTATATTTTAAGAATTGACTCTCCGTTTGCATTATGTAATTGAGCTAACGCTTTGAACATTATGTCGTCGAGTCAATTCTTGAAAGCAACAAATGTGCCAATAGACGATCAACAGGTTAACATTAAACTCAGTTAATCGTTAATTTTTTAACGAAATAAAATGAGTTTGGAAAACATGAATAGGCAGATGACCATTTTATAACTTTTAATAGTCGAATGACTCAACAAAACAATGCCCTATAGTCAAAAGGTCATTCTATAACTTTTAATAGTTGAAGAACCCAAACAAAATAAAGCCCTAGTTTGGGGATCATCTGCGTACTTTACCCCTTTTTTTCTAGGGTTTGTATTGAATTACTGATACTGTGGGCCCAAATTTACCAATTCTGTCTGAAGGTCTATACAGATTGATGCACACCACATTCATTTTCATTGTTTATTTTATATTTATTTTATTTAATCTTTTCCAATTTCACTTCAATTTTGTTTTTGACATTTCTAAAAAGAAATTGAAACCGCAAAAACTTTGATTGGAATCGCATGATGAAAAAAATCGACTTGTATTTTAAAATCTTTAGAATATATAGTATAATATAATCACTTTAAATTATTAAAAAATCGACTTATATGTAATGTGATTTTTAAACTTTAAAAAAATTAATGTGACCTTTAAACCTTTGTTAATTGTTACAATGTTGACATAATAATTGAGGGTTTAATTGATTTTTAAGAAGTGTGAAGAATTATTTATTTTTAAGAAAAATTAAAATTAAGAAATTATTCAAAATTTAAAATATTAAAAATAAAAATCAATTAAAATTTTTAAAATATAAATAAATAAAATATTAAAATATATCACAGCTATGAAACAATAAAGTATAAATTATTGAACCGTTATTTAATTGTTGATATAATATAAATTATTTAATGATTAATTTGTAAAAAAAATAATTCTTTTTTTGAGTAGAAGATGCTTTCAAGTGTTTTGACTTTTCCTATAAACTAAAAATCATTTTTAAGTTAAGAGTCTTAAAGGGTTAAATTATTAAAATATATTAGAAGATATAAAAAGGATAAATAATCAGATGAAAAACTACTGGAAACACTATTGAAAAAAATACCAGCATTAAAGAGTCTTAAAGGGTTAAATTATTATACTTCTTATTGTAAAACACTTGTGAGTTTAATTGTTATATTGCTCAAGTATTAAGGGTATATACTAAAGTGAATGCAAGAGTAAATGTTTAAAAAAAATCTTTAAAAGCCAAATAAGTAGATTTAAAAAATCTTTAATGTATATTTCAGTTGATTTATAGAACTAATAATTGGTAAAAGAGTTTAATTAATTTGAAAATATTACAACCTCGTAATAAGATTTATAAAAAGCATTAGTAATTTTTAAATTAACCAACAAAAATTACATCAATTTCTAATTCTTATTAGATTAAAGATTTGTATTAAAGATTCAGATTAACAAGTCATCTTATTTCAATGCGAGAGCTATAACTTTCTAAATTAAGGGTAAACCTCAATGAGAGACCTTAACCCTAATATAGGAGTAATTTTATAGTCATTGAAACCCGCTGCCGAAAGTAATTTAGACCATTCTTCTTCCTGCCTCTCTCTACCTGTTAATAACGTCATCATCAACATATCGAACAATAGCTGTGTTTCGATCGATTTCCTGATTTCGTCATTCACTCCATTATCTTCCATCAGTACCATATCTATTATAATCACCTTCTTTTTTATCATCACTTGTCGGTCTTGATTAGTGATCGATGTAAAATTGTCTTGATTTGTGATCGCTTCTTTACATCTTTTCAAAATTTTCAAGCATTCATCGTCATTCCAATCGTGTAATATCCACTGTTTAAAAAGGATAAATCAAAAGTATTAGAGTTAATTTAAAACATTAAAAAACGTAAAAAAATTAGTAAAAACCTTTAGTAAAACTGCATCTGCAACAGGAACATCCTCAAACATATCGCCTCCAACATATTTCAAGTTCCCGCTATCTTGTTGGTCAGCAACAACATGAGGAAGATCAAACACAGTGCACTCCAAGTTTGGAAATGCATCAGCGATGGCCTTGCCTAGTGTTCCTGTGCCCCCTCCAACGTCCACCAACGAATTCAATCCCTCAAATGAGCCCTTACACTTGTCAATCAAAACGCTACTAACCAATCGAGCATCGCTAGCCATGGCTTCATTGAAAGAATTACCAAGCTTTGGGTCATGAGAAGCATATTCCCAAAACGTCTTCCCATGAGCTATATCAAATGGGGTATAATCATTATTTTGGAACCAGATGCCTAGAAAATCCCAAGGCTTTGTTAAAACAGGATCCAACATAGCTTTCAGAAGAGGTGTAACGCTTAAGGGATTATCATTAAGCAAGAGACGAGAAGCACTGGTAAGAACATAACCATCTTCTTGGGCGTCATTGCTAAGCTTTTTTTGTGCAAAGAAGCCCGAATGAACTAAAATACGCATGAGCCGGTAGATGTTGCATGCCTTGGTAGGGTTGAGCGTTGGTAGTGCAGCGACCAACTGGGTGACAGTCATGGGCTTGCCATGGTTTTGAATGATATCTGGGATACCTAATTCAACAGCACATTTTAAGGACACGGGATTTATGAAGTTAAAAATGTGATTCCACACATGAGCATGAGCATGACCTTATATATATATATATATATATATATATATAAACAAGTGTATTATAAAAAAATTTCGAGATAATGTTCTCGAATTTTTTATTTAACGATATAACGTACTCCCAAGATTAATTGCTCAAATAGGGCGAATTGCACAGTGTTGGCCGTAGGTCGCCATGCCTTCCGGGCGACTTATGGCGTGGCAGCTTCCCAGCATAGGTCGCCATGCACTCCGGGCGACCTTGTAGGTCGCCATGCACTCCTGGCGACCTTGTAGGTCGCCATGCACTCCTTCTGCTCCTCGCGTGATTCCTCTTGCCCTCGGATGCCCTCGCATAGCTCGCTCGAATGGCCTCGGTCGGATGCCCTCGGTCGAATGGCTTCGGATGCCCAACGTGTTGGAACGTGCATGACACATGCAATCTCTCTCATAGCTCGCCGGGAAGACATGGCGACTTAGTAGATCGCCCGGATGGCATGGCGACCTACGACCAACACTGTAGATTTCACCCTATTTGAGCAATTAATCTGAGGAGTGCATTATCTCGTGAATTAATTTATTCGAGAACGTTATCTCGAGAGTTTAGCCCTTTTTATCGGTATGAAGTACTTATAATTTTTTTTGAAAAATCCTCAATTATTTGATAATAAACGTTCAAACACCCATGCAGATATCATGTTCAAACCTGAGATATATAAGAATAACAATCATCTTTTAATCACTGACGTCGTTTAGTACGTACATATAAATGACTTTTAATTCCATACATTAGGGACAAACGCTGATTGATACACCAAATAAATAAATAATAATAATAATAATAATAATAACTATAATAATAAATAAATAGTACATTTGTTAAACTTATGATAGAATATTTAACCTACAATTTAGGTGAGAGAGTAAGTATAAACTGAGAGCTTTTAACCATCAAAGAATAATATTTTTATAAAAACTACAGAGTATAATTATTTATATAATTATAATAATTCATATGACACCTCGAAGAATTGAAAAGTATAATTAAAATTTTCAATTACATTCAATTCAATATAATTTATTGATTATAACATATTTGTGTAATTACACACAATTCCACTTATAAGATAACTTTTAAGATAGACATACAGATACAGTCATATTTATTTGATAAATACCAGTGAAGGAAAATAAAAAAACATGAAAGAGTTGCAACCTTTTTTAACTAAAGGTAAACCTCAATGAGAGATCTCAAACCCAGTATAGGAGTAATTTTAACCATCACTTGTTTGTCTTGATTTAAAATCGCCACTTTGAATCGTTTCAGAATCTTCAAGCATTCATCGTCATTCCAATTGTGCAATATCCACTATTTAATCAACTCAAAAGCATTAGTGTTAATTGAAAACAATTACAAAAACGTCAAAAAGAGATTATTGATAAAAAAAAACTTTAGTAAAACTAAAACTGCATCTGCAACAGGAACATCCTCAAACATATCGCCTCCAACATATTTCAAGTTCCCGCTATCTTGTTGGTCAGCAACAACATGAGGAAGATCAAACACAGTGCACTCCAAGTTTGGCAATGCATCAGCGATGGCCTTGCCTAGTGTTCCTGTGCCCCCTCCAACGTCCACCAACGAATTCAATCCCTCAAATGAGCCCTTACACTTGTCAATCAAAACGCTACTAACCAATCGAGCATCGCTAGCCATGGCTTCATTGAAAGAATTACCAAGCTTTGGGTCATGAGAAGCATATTCCCAAAACGTCTTCCCATGAGCTATATCAAATGGGGTATAATCATTATTTTGGAACCAGATGCCTAGAAAATCCCAAGGCTTTGTTAAAACAGGATCCAACATAGCTTTCAGAAGAGGTGTAACGCTTAAGGGATTATCATTAAGCAAGAGACGAGAAGCACTGGTAAGAACATAACCATCTTCTTGGGCGTCATCGCTAAGCTTTTGTTGTGCAAAGAATCCCGAATGAACTAAAATACGCATGAGCCGGTAGATGTTGCATGCCTTGGTAGGGTTGAGCGTCGGTAGTGCAGCGACCAACTCGGTGACAGTCATGGGCTTGCCATGGTTTTGAATGATATCTGGGATAGCTAATTCAACAGCACATTTTAAGGACATGGATTTTATGAAGCCGAACATGTGGTTCCAGACGTGAGCATGAGCTTCAAGTAGCTCATTAGCATGCTCCCCAGAGTCATCGATCACGTTCATCATTATCCAAAGGTTTTTCTAATTTGCACTGAACCAGCATAGCAATGAAATTTGGTAATTATAGAGTATGCACCGATTGTGTATGTCATTACTAATTTTTAATCGGTTTGTTTGGTTGCTCTTTAGATCGATACGAATACGATAGCATGCTGTACGGACACGCATGAGAGATGTTATAAGAAGATAGCACGTGCACACCACGTGCCATGTGTATTCTTCATCAAAATTCAAAACGGTGTTTCCTTTTTTCAATTTTAAATTAAAGGTTCAAAACACAAAGTCATCCTAAATTTGATCATTTTAGTTTTTCTTTCTCTATAAATAGAATTTTATTTACAAAACTATAAAGCAAATGTTAAAGTAGAATGCCTGGTTAAAAATTTACTGGACTTAGATGAAGAAAAAGAATATATTTTGTTTCTTATTAATTTTAGGATAAAGTATATAAATGGTCTCTCGATTATAGGGCCTTATTTTGTTAAGACTCGGACTATATGATTTTTCTTTGTTGAGTCTTTCAAATATTAAAAAGTTATAAAATTGTCATCCGACTATTTATATATTCAAAACTCGTCTTTGTCTGCTATAAAATTTAATCTGCTGACTAATATATGATAAAATCATATTTTAATGATATATATTGACATCGTCGTTGCTTTCAAGCACTTACTAACGACATAATGTTTGAAGCATTTACTCGACAACATAATATAAACAAAGAATCGATCCGTAAAATATATTAAACTATAATACATAATCTCATTCAATGAATAAAATAAAACACAAATATAATAAATTACAGTGAAACAAAATCCACATAACAAATGCCTCAAACCTTCCGAACAAGGAGATCTACACCAAATTCAGGCTCAATAATTAAATTCATAACCGGAGAATGTCTATACTTTGGTGAGAGAGAAAAGGTGAAGTTTGACACTAAAAGACTAATAAGTATCTTGATTTCTGCCATGGCAAAATGCTGTCCCAAACATGAACGAGGCCCAGTTCCAAAGGGTATGTACACATATGGAGGCTTACATGCTCCATTGATTCCATTCCCAAACCTTTCGGGGTTGAATTTATGGACATCAGGTCCCCAAATATTGGGGTCTTCGTAAAGTGCCATCATCATCACCCAAATACTAACTCCTTTAGGCACATCGACGCCTCCGAATCTCGTGTCTAGAACCGCCTCCCGAGTAAGCATGCAGCCGAGAGGGTAAAGCCGCAATGACTCGTAGATCACCATCGTTAGCTGCCGTAAGTTTCTAATAATTATAAAAGTGTCAAACGAATACGAAGATATATGTGCAAATGGTTTGACACTTACTGTTTTCAACTTGTTAAGCATGGCGGAGGTTGACGATTGGCCGTCGAAAATTTCGAGAACCTCCGCCCGAACTTTGTCTTGCCACTCCGGATACAGGGCTAATAACATCAAGGTCCAGATTGCCGGAACAGCGCCATTTTCATAGGCCGGAAAGCATATGTTCTTGCAGTTATCGACAACGAAGTTGTCTACTTCATCTTGGCTTAAATCACTGTTCTTTGCTCCCTGAATGAGCATTTGTAATATGTTCTTCTCTGAATCCGCTCCTTTTCTTTTCATTTCCTTCCAGATTAATGTGTGAACGTCTTTCTCTAATCTCCACATTTCTTTGTTGCTTTCGGTTGGCAGTGATCTAATAAATATACCAAGTCAGTCATCTTTGTCCAGTTTTGCCTAATCATTTTTTTTATTGAGTAAAGAGAAATTACATTTTTATAGTAAATGTCAAGAATTAAACCTACATAAAATAAGTCAATATGAATATCTTTAACTATTCGACTAATTAATAGATCTATTGTCTATACATTTTTAATAATAATTAATTTCATGTACTTCTTTAAATCCCTGACAATTTTAGAATTAAATAAATTAAAATGAAACAAATTATATTCTAATCCCTATTTTAAAAATAAAATTAAAGAAAACTTAACAATTAGACCATGATTACTCCACCCCTATTTTATTAGTAATATTAAAATCACATGTTTAAAAAATTAAAAATTTACATGCATTTTTTAAACATATCCAAATTGTTAAATTAATAGATATATTTGTTTAACCATCGATATCTAATCTATTAATCGATTATTTTGGATCGAATTTTGCAGAGGTTCATCATGGGAGCAACCCTCTTAACTCAGTTTGCTTCATTCATAATCGTTAAGATTCAAACTCCTAACCTTGCCTAAGGGAATAGATATACATATATTTAAATTTTAAGTTATCTATGTATTTTACGTATCTCAACTTAAGATACAAGAAATTGATTGATACAATATTGATATTTTAAGACTTGATTGAAATGTACTAAAATTTGAAGACCAATTTTAAATCAATATCATAATTTCAGGACATTTAATGCATTAGCTCTATGCTAGATAGTTTAAGTCGATGACTATGTGAAAAATAAAGAAAACGGGCCTCACCTGAGACCAGGAATCCCTTGCAAGGCTACTTTCTTGCATGCAATTTCTTGAAGTGCTCTGAGCTTTGAGATTATCTCTTTACAATTGCTTCCAAAACAGGCTTTTGAGATCACTTCTCCAGAAAAGTTCCTTAAATGCTCATCGATCTTTATGTCGGCAACTCACCCGGCGGATTCAATCTCCCGATTCCACTATTTTATCACCAGAACCGCGGACTCCACCATTAATGTCATCATACCCTACACATGATGGACCATTAATTGATGCCACAGCAAATACAGGGTTGTCAATGGCTTAAACCATACCTTGACCTTGTCCATGTAGAATTCAGGAGCCATTACTTTCCTTTGATGTGCCCATACTGCACCATTTGCATGCAGAATCCCCTCCCCATACAGTGGATGAAGCCCTTGTTTCTGATAAAAAGGCCTTCCCATGTCAAAAGAAGTGTATGCCGACATCTCTTTCACGACATCCGGGTGGCTCATGTGCAGAACCTGTATGTTCCCCATCGAAAACATGAATGTCGGACCTGAAATTTCACCGTAAACATCTCATAACCCGAAAATTCGACGTGTACTAGTGGTCGAAATATGAACTTAAACATATCATACTGTCGTCTCCACTTATCGAGAAACGGTAGAACATCGGAACAACAACTGTGGGTTATCGCTTGTTTTCCGTCTCGTGTCACATTTGAATTTTTGGACTCTGTCTTCTTCCCCAACTGCAGCAGATTACCGACCAGGATCGATGGCGGGGGACCTCGAATCCCTTGCTTTCGCAGCTTCGAACGTTGTCTCCCGGGGATCAACACGAGTGAATTATACAGGCGTATTACCACGCCGATCGATCCTACTAAAAAGAGAGTGGATACGATCCTCAAAAGCATAAACGCCAATCCCATGGTGTTCAACTCTGCTTTCTCTGATTTCCAATGATGGTTTCATCATATTTTATGGTCGACAACAATGGCTTAGCAGGCAGAAATATTTTATATTTTCTTATACGTTTCATTCAGACGATGACACATTAGATGATTTGTTATAATATATATATATATATATATATATATATATTATCTAATATGCAAATAGTCATATGAATTAGTTAAAGAAGCAACAAATATGATAATTATGAGGGTTTTCTATCTTTCCAAACAGCTCAGCCATCGATTTAGAATAAGAGAGACAAAAAAGTCAAAGCATTGTTTCATTGTAAGACTCGTTTGTCCATGTGAAAAGCTTAGCCTGGCTCCGCCTATTTCTTCTCCAGGTTTCCCGGGAAAATTTCAACCCATAAAACCATCATGTGCTTAGTCACCGTAATCCAAGCTCCATCCCCGACTACTGATCGTGCTAAATCGACCGCAAGGATGGATCAAGGGGAGGCAACTTTCCCTCTAGAATTTTAAAAGTTTATCCTTCTAAAATTTTAAAAGTTCGCTCCTAGCATAAAATTACACGTACGTTCCTCATGATCGAATAGATAATCTTCTCACTCATGATGGCTCTTGGGATGTTGCAGGCCTTTCGAATCTAATTAAACCAAAAATCATACCACACCTTATAAGCATTGCTCCTCCTAATGATCTGGACGCCTCAAACATGTGTATATAAAGACATAATACTAAATTGCAGTTGCAGTTGTTGTCGTAGTTGCGGCTATCTATCGTTAATAAGAGTAGTTATTTTTTTTATCGTAAATATTATTACAAAGAGATGAATGATTAATAAGTGTAATTACAAACACGTACATACTTTACAAATGAAACTTTTTAAATTCGGGATTTTTAAAGAATATAACAATTTTTTAATTATTGAGTTCGTTTAATAAGTTGAAAGATAATGCTAATGTTTTAATTGTACCTTTGAATTCTCTCTTACAATTGGATTCTCTCAAAACAAATCTATACATGTTCAAAATATGGAATAAATTTAAACTTTAATATTTAAATCCAAACTGATCATATTTCACTTTTTTCAATTTTATAATCGGTTATTCTTTTTTATTATTCTGGTTTAAAATTCAGTTAACCAAAAATATCAAAATAGGCAGTTTTAAATATAATGGAATGCCAAAAATAAGATAATTAACTTTATTAATAATAAAAAATAATAATCAACTTTAATTCTACTTTAATGCAAGGAGAAATCTACGTTAATAGTATTTTCTTTGTATATATTTTAGATATTGTCTTTGTATTTCCAACCGTAGGTGTTTGATTATATACAATACAATCTGTACAAAGCATACAGGGAACAATTATTGTTTTGCTTTGATGTATAAGGTAGTGTGTAATTTAGATGATATAATATACATTTAGGAATATGTAGTGTTTTATTAATTTATTTTTAGAGTTAAAACATCTATGTATTTAAATTTCACCTAAATTACCAGACGTATACTTGAATTTATACGACTAACGGCTAATGTGGTTGCACACTCGCTTGCTTCATGGTCTCCCAAAACTAGAATTACTATGTATTTTGACTCATTTATCTTTAAATTATTGTTTCGATTGTAACTTTGGAGATATCTGATTCTTAATTTTAATATAACATTGTTTTTAAAAATAAATAAATAAAACTCCAACTTGTAACAACAACAACAACAAAAATAGTAATAATAATAATAAATTTATATTATAAAAAAAATGTATACAAAAACTTTACGATAAATAAAAATAAAGTTGATGTTATAAGTAAAAAATAAAAAGAAAGGTGAGTAAAACTATTGTTATTTATTATAAAAATATAATATGGGTAAAGTATACAAATGGCCACTAAACTTTTCAAATGCTTGCATTTAGGTCCCTCAACTTTTAAAACTTGCAATATAGTCACCAAACATTTAGTTCGTTTGCAATATGGTCCCGACGTAACAGTCGTTTCACTGTCATTAGGGTAAATTATATAAATGGTCATTGAACTTTTCAGGTGCTTGCATTTAGGTCTCCCAACTTTTAAAACTTACAACACATTCATCAATTATATTATAAACCCCAAATTCCAAAATACTTCAATTACATTCTAAACCTTAAATTCCAAAATACTTCAATTACATGCCCAACCCCAAATTCATTATCCATTCTCAAAATCTACCATAACAAATTGAACTTGAAGCATCAACCCTAAACCCTCAAAACATAATCGTTTCAAAAAAAAATTAACCAACTATAAGTGAACAATAAGTGATTATATTGGGTTTAGGGTTATGTTGGACCTAAATACTCAATTTAGTTTATAAAATAGTTTACTCGAAATTTTTTCGATTTGAGTTTATAAAATTTAAATAAAGTCGAATTGAATTGAATTTTCGAGTTTAAGTTTAAATTTAATTATAAATATTTATCATATTTTAATATTATTTGATTCTAATTCAGTTCAGTTTATAAAAAAGTTGACTCGAATTTTTTTCGATTTGAGTTTATAAAATTTAAATCAAGTCAAATTGAATTGAATTTTTGAGTTTCTGTTTAAATTTAATTATAAATATTTATAATACTATAATATTATTTGATTCTAATTTAAATAGTTTTTTAACCATATACAATACATATATTTCTTCATATTTTTCCATATGTAATACATATCATACAAAGTCAAGGGACTTGACTCAAACTTAAAATTTAATTCACTAATTACTAAAAAAATTTAGATATTCGAGTTGTATTTTACAACTCGATTTTAACTTGAAATTTTTTAAGTTGAGTTTATGAAATTACAACTCAAAGTCAATTTGTATCAAATTTTTGAATCAATTGAAGTCTAAAAATAACTTTTTCGAATCGAATTGAGTATTGTTCACTTATAGTTGATTAAATCTAACTTTTAAATCCTAAACCCAACATAATCACTTATTGTTATGACCCAAAATGAACTAAATATTGTTAAGTGTAGGATCAACCCTTTTTATATTATTGCAGATTTTTGTGGAAATAACCGTGCAACAAAATTATTTTGTATAGAATCATACAAACAATACAAAGTTAGATTTGAAGAACTAGAATAATAATGTTTATATATTTTGTCATAAATCACTATTCAGGTGTAGAATCATTTGAATTAGATTTGAAGGAGCAGAAAGTGACCGTGAAGGGCAACATACAACCTGATGCTGTTCTGCAAACTGTGTCAAAGACCGGAAAAAAGACCGCCTTCTGGGAATCTCCTACAGAACCTGAGGCAAAGCCTGCTGGCGCTGTTGCCGCGGTTTAAAATGTCCCGTGGTTGCTTAATTGATTGATTTTCTTATAGCATTTTAAACTGTGATATGAATTGTTGAATGTAATACAATAAGCTCTTGGGTGCTTGTGATGGTACTGAAATGGAAAATGATTTATATAAGATTTTGAAATTTATAAGGATGTAATCACATCTCAATACTCGCTATATCAATTACGAGTCAACTTTACTGGTAGAGATGTTTGCAAGTTAACTTGCTGTGTTAAAATTTTCCTCTCTCGCTGTATCAAATATAAATATTTTTGTTTAAGAATTCAATTGATATATTTTGGAAATGGTTTGAAGAGTAAGGATTAATTTAAATGGGCAAAATATCAAATAGTTAGGGATGGTAATGGGTTGGGTTAGGTCGGATTTTTAGATCATCCGACCCGAGAACAATGACTCTTCCACCCAAAATCCAACCCGACCCGACTTTTTAAAATAAAATCTGAACCCGGCCCGGCCCAAAATAATAAAAAATATTATTTTTATTCAATAAAAACAGTGATTTAATTGAAAAAAATAATCTATAGAGATGTATTATTGTAATTATTCCTAAATATATAAAGTAAAATAATTTTTTTCTAGGTCGGGTCGGGTATTTTTCACCCTAAACTTGAATCCAACCCGAACCCAAATTTTTTAAAAACCCGACCCGATCAGGTTGAAACCCGTCGGCTTCTGGTCTCATGCCTATCCCTACAAATAGTCCCCTAATTATAAGATTTTTTTAGTCTTTGCTTACGAAAAGGGATAAACTATGTATTTAGTCATCCAATTACTCATGCGATTCTATTTTGGTCACTTAACTATTTTTAAAAAAAATCATATCTAACATTATATTTTGATTTTATTCTTATCACACACCGTTAAAAATTAGTAGAACCACTTATGTGTTTTTTTTGTTTTCTTCAATTATTACATGACATTATGTTATATTGATATACCAACATCATTGTTAATTCTTTAACAGATAATGACTAAAATGTAACGTTGAATATGATTATAAAAAAATAATTGGATAAACAAAATAAAATGCACTATTTTAAAGGATATATCTTACATATTATAATAATTACTATAAAATGATCGAAGATTAATACTTTTTATTTGAATTTTAAAACAATATATTCTACTAATAACAACATTATACTAAAGCTATAATAATATAAAGTTATAGATTTAATATTTTATAGTAATAAAGAAAAAAATATTAAAACTACTAATATATCATCGTAATTCGTGATACAATGCAATAATTACTTCAAAGATGACTAAACTTTAACGTCTCTCTTATTTGAGTTCTAAAATAATTAATTATATAAAAATTACTCGCTAATATATAATATATTTTATAATTGATATTTTGAAGTAATTAAGATAAAATATTAAAATTGAATAAGTAATTTATATTGCAAAAAAATGTTTATTTTTTCTCTCACATAAGTTTTCTCTCGATATCTTTGTATTGTATTTCTCTTTTCTTTTGATTTTTATTTAATGAGCAATATAATTAATCTTAATGTTGATTGTCATTTGTCAATGATTATTATTCTCTTGTTTTTTCATACTATCTTTTTTTCCTAGTCTTAAATAAGAATCTTTATTGTGACATGTTTTTTTCTATTTTTATGATATGTTTTTCTATGCTCTTGTGACATGTTTGTTATGACATTTAGTACGCTTTTTGTATACCTTTGCGGTTATTTTTGTTCTTACATGGAGACCGTTGCAATATTGTTTTCTGATTGATTTATCGATATCACATATAATAGTTCTCACTTTTAAACGTCATTTTCATTTTCAAAAATGTTTCGTTTATGTTCATATCTTTGAGTAATAATATTTTTGTTTTATGTGAGTTTTTGGTGATTGTTATGTTTATTTTTCTATCTATACATGAGTGTGTTCTTATTGTCTTCTATTGTTTTTATTAATGAAATCTAATTATTATCATTAAAAAATAATATATTAAATTTAATGATATATTATATAATTCATAATATATGGTAATAAACAACCTACTACATGTACAACTACCCGATAGTCACAATATAACTGAACTTACCTACTACTCATCTACTTTTTTGGAGGGTAGATCTTGTTAATCAGTTTTTAAACGCACCACATTCCGCTTTTTAACTTCCCAATATACCCTCCAAATATATCCTAATATCAAAACTACTGAAGGCTATTTTGGAATTTCTAATATAGAAAAATATCACCTACTCGCCTTTAAAACTAGAGGGCCAAAACGGCCCAGTCATGGGAATCACCCAATAATCTAAGCCGTACATTCTGTAAGATCAACGGTTTCGATTTCAATTTCCCCCTTTACTCTCTGTATTTCCCTCTTCAGCGGTTTTCTTTATCACATCATCATAAACCCTAGCCGCCATCTCTCTCTCTCTCTTTCTCCCTCCAAGAAAACAAGATATACGTGAAATTCCATAATTATTTTTCTCTCTTCTATTTCAAGAGAGAGAATTCTTTCTCTTTATCTTTGTAAAAAACTAAGATATTTGTGTGTTTCTTTTTTCTTTTCTTTTTTTAATATAGGGTTTTTGCCTTTATTTTCTGGGTGTGATTTTAATTTTAATTCCGAGTTGAACGATCTTTGTTAGTGGGGTTTTTTTCTCTGTTGTTGTTTACTTTTTACTCCCTTCGTAGTTATCTCTACTAGTTTCCTTTTCGTCTTTGTAGCCGAGACAAAACGCTGAGTTTTCCGAGTTGTAGATTTGAGTTTTCTGTGCGAACTGGCTCGCTTATGGTCATGGATCTGCATCTTAAGTAGAGGGTCATCGTTTGGCTTTCTATTTGTTAACGTTCCGTTGTGTTTCACGAGGTTGTTTGTTGAGTGGGGTTTTTTGGTTGTTTTTTTCCTTCCATTTTGACTCGTCTGAGTCGAGTCGGTTACTGAGTCAACTCGTTAGTTGGAGGTAAGAGCGACCAAGGAGTTTACCTTGAGGAACCGGGCGGCGATGCCTTCGGTGGGGATGAAGCGGAGCATGAGGGTTTGCAGGATGAAGAGCTCGGAGAACCGGGTTCTTCGCTCCGGGCGGAAAATCCGGCCTGATACCGGCGACGTAAAGCCCAAGAGGCGCGGCAACGACGGCGTTGAATTCAACAACTCGGTGAAAAAGACTCCAAAGAGTGAAATACAAAAGTCTCCTGCAGATGTAAATGAGAAGCCCAAAGGACTGGGCCACGAAGAGAATCCAAAGAAACGGCCCAGGAAAGTGAAAGCTGAAGTTATAAACAATGGCGGCACTGTAGATAAGATGTTTGGGATTGTTTACACTAGAAAAAATAAGAGAAATGGGGTTCAAAAGTGCGGTCTTTCGGAAAATTTCGAGCCGAATATTCCGGTTGATTCTACCGTGCTTGAAAATGATAAACTTGGGAGCGAAGTTATTTCGCACTCGAGTTTTAGAGCTTTGAAACCAACAGTTCGAAGCAGTATTCAGAAGCGGCGGAGTTCTCTGAGGATAACAAGATCTAGAAACCCTATTTCTAGTGGAGCTCTAATGTCTGACCTGATAAGTAGTAGGCGAAATGGTATTCCTTTTTCCTCCGTAGTTTCTAAAAACAAGCTTAGGAGTTGTTCAATCAGCAGTGGTTCCTCCTCGAACTTAAGCGACGAGAGCTCTTCGATATCCGATTTATCGGATTTAATGCCGAAGGTAGAGTTGGAGTCAGAATCATGGCGATGCTCTGCCAATGTATTGATCATTGAACCCGATAGATGTTACAGGGAAGAAGGAGGAATCGTCACTTTGGAGCTCTCCGAATCAAAAGAATGGCTTCTTGTAGTGAAAAAGGATAATAAGACAAAGTATGCACAGAAGGCAGATAAATTTATGAGGTCAACCTCGTTCAACCGCTTCACTCGGTCTGTGATTTGGGCTGGGGTTGATACATGGAAGCTCGAGTTTCCAAACCGGCAAGATTGGATCCATTTTAAAGATCTTTACAAGGAATGTTGTGAGCGCATGTGCCTGCTTCAACTTGTAGAGTGATCCCTGTGCCTGGGGTCTGGGAAGTATCAGGGTATGAGGGTAAGCCCAGTGTGCCGTTCCAAAGACCGGATTCGTATATCACGATGGATGGTGATGAAGTATCAAGAGCCTTGGCAAAGAGGACTGCTAACTATGACATGGATCCAGAAGATGAGGAGTGGTTAAAGAATTTCAATGGCGATCTTTTTAGTGGAAATGGGCAACGGGAGCATCTTTCGGAGGATTGTTTCGAGTTGATGGTTGATACGTTCGAGAAGACATTTTTTGCAGCCCAGATGATCACTCGAATGTGATTGCTGCTGCTGATGATCTAGGTATTAGAGCCGTTGTTGAAGCTGTTCATGCTTACTGGTTGAAAAAAAGGGACCAAAGGCGATCGGCACTGCTCAGAATTTTCCAGGTAAACTTTGTGGAGAATTTCTTCACGGATATCGATATCTATAACGTTGTAGATTCATTTGGGAAAGTAAAGTCGTTTAATTGGATTGTCATTGTACTATATACTATCTTTTGTGAATGGAAATTCAAACATGTATTCGTTGCAAGCCTATTTGTTTGTTGAAATTTGTTGGTTTCATGAGATCAAAAACGAAGTATTGAACAGCTGATTATGTCCCAGCTCTTCTTTCTTGTGTCTTTGTGTGCACGTAGAACAAGAAGCATCGACTACCATAGATATATGACCAAAATGAATGTTTTATTTGAACAGGGTCATCAGGTCAAGAAGGCTCCGGTTGTTCCACAGCCTTTTCTTCGGAAAAGGAGGTCATTTAAGCATCAAGCCAGCCATGGAAGAGGCAAGCAACCAAGTTTGTTGCAAGGTAAATTATACTCCGACTAGAACAGTCATGCTCTACTATACAAGTTGCAAGGTGAATAGCACTTTGATTCAGATTTGTTGCTGAGACTATTATTTTGCAGCCATGGCAGCTGAACATGATTTATTGGAAGAAGGGAATGCGATGGTTAAAGTGGAAGAAGCTAGAGCCGCAGCAACCAGATACATTGAATCAGCTATCCTCAAACGCCAACTGGCACAGTTGCTAATGCAAAATGCCGATATGGCTACATACAAAGCCATGATGGCAGTCAGAATCGTCGAAGCTGCTAGTCTTACCGGATCCTCGGAAGATACAGTCACCCACTTTTTGTTCGATGAGGTGCCGGTAATCAGCTAGTAGGGGGACTTTGCACAGCATAATGGCTGTTTTTGAAGCCCATGGGAGTGGGGAAGAGTAGTGTAATAATGTATAGCTTGATTTAATCTTCAATGTACATTGTGTATTAAACCATATGTCATACCAAAATATGTGGTAGGGAAATCTGAAAAAGGGGAGAATTACAGGGAATTTAGAGCCCATTGTTGAAGCTTACATGATTATTATTTGTTGTTAATTTGACATTAATATTTTAAATATTTTTTAAAAAATCATATATTCAATAAAAACCCAAATTTTAAAATGATAATGCGTTTAAATAATTTACAAAAAAATATGAAAATTTTAAAGCTCATGAACTAACTTTTCTTGTTTTAATTATAAAACAACTGTTAAAAACTTGTAGAAAGTTAACAAATTATTTTCAGAAAAATAAAATTATTTTAAAAAAAGTAAAAGCTTTAAATTGGTTTTGCTATCAATCACAATCTTCTAAAGTATATACAAAGCGCCTAAACAATAAGTAACATTAATAATTCTTTCATAAAAGCTTATTGCAAACAATTATATCATTGTGGAGATCACTAAGAATTTTGTTAAAGCATCTAATCATTTTCGTTATGTACAAGACATGAAGATTATTTGTATTTTTAGGACTATAAACTCTTCCGTTAGGTATTATAAACAAGGGTAAATTACATCAATAGTCCCCCGATTACGATTATAAGGCGTTGCTTTGTGGAGTCATCTTATTATAGGGTGTTGCTTTGTTGAGTCATCTGACTATAAGGTGTTGCTTTGTTGAGTCCCCTAACTATAGGGCGTTGTTTTATTGAGTCATCTGACTATTGAAAGTTACAAATTGATTCTTCGACTATGTGACGTTGCTTTGTTAAGTCCTTTAATGATTAGAAGTTAAAAAATGATCAGCTGATTATTCATATGTTTCAAACTCGTTATTTTTTTATAAAAAAATGGTCATTTGAGTTTGACATTAACATGTTAATTGAGATATGATAGTCATTTTGAGATTTTGGGATCATCTTTTAGCATATCTTAGTCAGCCTATTAACCTTCATCTTAGACTGTCGTCATTTCTTAAACGAAAAAGGTTGAGTTTGAAATATATGACTAGTCGAATGGTCAGTTTGTAACTTTTAAGCAATACCCTATAATTGAATGATAATTTTGTAATTTTTTAGTATATTTAATTTTTAGATACTTTTATTTTTATTGTTACTTCAAATTTATCATTTTTATATTACCAATATCAGAAGAAAAAGATGTGTTTTTCTTTTAGGAAAAAAAAATCAATAGTATCTCTTTTGGTGTTAATTCAAACCGAACACTTTTCAATATCTTTGTTAGTTTGATAGTAGGAATATATAAGGTATTCGAACTTATGACATCAAGGAATAACAACTTATTTACCACAGATGTCACTTGGTTCATGCAAAGTTCTTGAACTTTTGAAAGAAAAAATAATTAAAGTCTTAAATTTATTTTACACCTAATTAAGTTTATATTTTAAATTTTAATTCATTCATATTTTTTATTAATATTAAATTTTAAATCTACTATTTTTTAGATTAATTGGCGCATATGACATATTATGATGTTTCGAAGCGATAATTTAAAAAAAATATTTTTATAAAATTATTAAATAAACAAATATAGATGGAGTGCTGAAAGAATCATATATGAGTTTATTAGTCTTTTTATATAAATTTTGAATTATATTTCTTAATTAATTTATTTAAAATCATATCAAAATATAATAATATTAATTATATTTAAAAGAATAATTTCAATTTTTTAATTGAATTGATTATCAAATTAATCCGTGTAATTAATTTTGGGCCATTACCCTCAAAGGCCCATGTAAATTGAAACCCTAAAACCAAAAACTAAATTTAAAGCCGAAACCTAACAATCAGCAAAGCTCTTGCCTTTTCCTCTCACTAGTCACTACTCTTCAATCCCCAGACGCGGCCGCCGGTTTTTGCTTTCTGGTAAGCAACACACTCACACCCTTTCTCTCTATAACTTTTAAGATCTCTGGGGTTTTCTTTTTTCTTCTTATTTATCAGCTAGTTCGTTGAATTGTAAAGAAAGATCGGTTTATTTACCTGTTTGATTAGGTTTAGATCGCACTTATCTTTGTGTTTGATACGTTGTTGATATTTCGGGGTTTCTGGGAAAGTTCAAGAATTCATTGTTTCCAATGGGTCAGAATCTTTTATGCTCTTAAACTTATTTTCGTGTACTTGGTTCTGTCACTATGTAAGCTAAGATTAGAAACTTGGGTTCGTTGGTTGGAACCGAATCCTTCGTTTGGATAAGAGATTGGATCACTGGAAATACTGTTATTATTATGGGAAAATGGTGGTTGTTAGAAGCATGATATGTGGGAAATTAGGGGAAAATGGATCTGATTTTTTTAGAGATTTGGGGGACAGCATTTGATTGATTATGGTAAAGTAGTCGATAAATGAGGATGACTTGGGCAAAGTCAGAGCAGATGAGGTTTTTTGTATTTTGGTATCAAATTGTAAAAGAAAATGATAGTGAAGGATCAAAATAGGAATTTTTCACAAATCAGTATTAAGTCAATTTTGGGTGACTTCCTTAACTCACTGTTTCATTTATTATAGTTTTTTTTTATAAAATATCATTTTATTCTAGGTACTTCTATTTCCTTTTAATTTGGTCTTAAAATGCAAAAAATGAACTGTTGACAACTTTGCTAAAGTCAGTTTCAGCTGCGAGAACTTTGCATGCATAATAGAAACATCCCTATTTCCCTAATTAATCCTATATCATCTGCAATCCCAATTTTTCCCAACATCCATATCCCTAATTGAGCCCATTATATGTATTGAATTGTTTTAATTCATTAAAACTATAGATAAACACTTAATTTGATGTGAAATCCGCAGCAGCAGCAGCGGCGGCAGTAGCTTGTATCTGGAAGGATGGTGAGGGTCAGCGTTCTGAATGATGCACTGAAGAGCATGTACAATGCAGAGAAGAGGGGAAAACGTCAGGTCATGATCAGGCCTTCCTCTAAAGTGATCATCAAGTTCCTTTTGGTCATGCAGAAGCAGGTTTGTTTCAACTTCCAATATATATTCTCTACCCATTTTTCTTTGCGTCCAACTGTTCATTCGATCCATATGCTTATATTGGCATTTACAGGTTACATCGGAGAGTTTGAGTATGTTGATGACCACAGATCTGGTAAAATTGTTGTTGAACTGAATGGAAGGCTTAACAAGTGCGGGGTCATCAGTCCTCGTTTCGACATAGGAGTGAAGGAGATTGAGGGTTGGACTGCTAGGTTACTTCCTTCTAGACAGGTTAGCTGATGAGAAGCTTCATTAGATTTCCCCCTTTTCTTATGGAAATGTTTTGTCTGACATATATATGCGTATTTTGATTGCAGTTTGGGTATATTGTGCTGACTACATCTGCTGGAATAATGGACCATGAGGAAGCCAGAAGAAAGAAGTTGGTGGGAAGGTACTTGGGTTCTTCTATTGAGGGATTTATTGATGCATAGAAGTTTTAAGAATGATGTGTTTTATTAGGGTTTGGACTTGATAGTTAGCCATCATCTTGCTTGTGATGGAGATTTTCAATCGGTAATTGTTATTTCCTTTTGCATTAAACAGTTTGGATTATTTTTATTTCTTGAAATTTTCATTCTACATATCGTGAACAATTGTTTTGCAGCTAAATTAATTATTCTTGATGGTTGCATATATCAACTAAGAATGTCTATAAGACCTCACAAATAATATTAGCATTGCTGTTAATATTGAATTTTAAAAAAATCATTCATAAATAATATCAGATTAAAACTCAATATTATATCAGATTAAAAAATTAAATTTGAAATATTCTCAAATGTAATTTTATTGAAGCTCAAATTCAAACTCGAATTTAAATCTTTAAGTACATGAAAATCTTTGATTAGTATAATTTGATTGAAACCTGAATGTGAACCTTAATCTTGAAGCACATGAAAATTTATATTGATTTTTAAATGAATAATAACATATAAATGTGAATATTAATAATAATTTAGTTTAAAAAATTAATATATTATATTTTTTAATTTCTCGTAAGTTTTTTTAGTCAAGAATCAAATAGTGAATAAATTTGACTAGTTAAAAAATTGAGTCAAACTAATCTATTTAATTTAAGAGTTGAACAAATTTTAATCAAAGTGATCTCAAGGAGCAGGCGATCTAATCTCGTCTCATCTACGTCCATAGGAGTGATGGTGAGAGCAACCAATCCTAATATAAGAAAAGGTTCATCCAATTTGTAAGGACTGATTGCTCCTCTAATTATTTCTTTGAATAGTCATCACTATACATTTGCATACTTAATTAATTATATTGTCAATTTAACCATCAATTTAGGTTGCATATCTCTAATAGGGGGTTTCAATGAAATATACCCATCCCAATTCTTGATTCACTTCATTACATGTAATCAAGACTACAGATACTAGCTGATAGTAATAAAAAAGGTTCAAAATGTGGCTGGATCAAATAGTTTATGGTACATAATGTGTCCGCTTTATTATTTCAGCAAGCAACCTATCCGGTAAAGGCTCGTTGTTTCATGGCAAAAGCTTTTACCCATACACAACAGGAGATGCTGCACATTGAAGGCCCTAACAGTACAGAAGCAATTTGCCCACTTTGAAACAAAAGATCTTCCCCAATTCCCATTGGCTCCTCATATTGCTGTGATATAATATAACAGATACATTCGTAAGGATGATAACCTAAAACAGCCACAAAGAACATAAATGCAGTTTGAAATATAGGCATGAATGGGGTGAGCAATACCTTCATCATTGATGACTGATTACATTCTTGGCTCCATAAGTCCCATCTACTTTTCTTCATCGTCATCATCAATGGCAATGAATGTGCCACAAACCAAGTGAGCTTCTCTACCCTTTGCCAAAGCTACAGAAGCTCCAAGATAAACCGAGTGTGAGGTAGCAGGTCAATGCATATTTCCTTCAAAATCATGTCCAGCTCACCTGGTTTCTATGCCTGCACTCCAGCCAGTTTAGATAATTTGTGATGACATCATTCCACTGTTTCAGATAATTGGTTACTGGCAGGGTGCAGGCATGCCCAATCACCTCACTGGGGCCGGGCTAATCCAAAACTAGCATCAGGCTGATGTTGATGAGGCTGTATAAATTCAATGATACAAAGACCAAAATCAGAACTGTAAACCAAAGAGACAAATATTGTTTTCAAATTTTTTTCCTTTCTATCCCTCTCCTATCCCACAACAATTTTTCCCAAGAAATGCAGGAACTCAGTCTTATCCAATTAATAACAAGGACCCTAGTCTCCAGGAATAATTACTAGGTCATCATGTAAATTCTGTATATATGCAGGGATTCATAGGCATCTTCAAGCCAGAGTCGCATAAGAACCTTAATATAAATATCTGAAAATCCCTCAGCATATAACTCCAGTTTTTTTTTTTTTTTTGATAAAGTTGGAGGTCTCATTAAAAACTCCCTTCGTATTCATCCACATACTAACAAGTATCAAACTTACAAAGGTTTCACTGTTTGTTTCACTGGTCTATCTTCATCTTTAGTGGACAATCATTATCAATGTACATAAGGATAGAGAAAGATAGAATAGAAATGAAGGGAAAGGGAGAGAAGGGGAACATAATTATAATAATTCTATATAGACTAAAAATTTCAAGATTCACTAAAACATAGCGGAGAACTTTGTCGTTCACTGCACTTGCTGCAAGTGATTATGAAAACAATTAACTAAAGAGTGACTAAAAGCATGCATTACATGAATCAAAAAGTACAGCCATTAGGAAGGAAAGTTGTGAAGTTGCTATACCTGTGAAAAAGGCTGGTGAACATGCTCATGTGGATGAATGAATGGCACTCCAGGACACTGAAGGATACTGAGAAGAATGCAAATATATGGTCGATGGGGAGCATGCGCCAACATGACTTGGATTAAAAGGTGGCATCATTGTTCAGGATGACCATAACTGATTCCTGTAGCGGTTGATGGAGCAACCCAGGGCCCAGGTATATGTTGTGGGAGAGGACGAGGTTGGTGCTCCGTAGATATTCGAGGCCGATGAGTAGATCCAAGTTGGGGAAATTCAGTCTTGTAGTTAATTGCAGGGTGTACATAGGCTGCATTGTATATGGTCCCTATTGAATTCAAACCCAGGATCAATCTTTGCATGTACCTGAAGAAAACAATCACTACATAAACTTTTGCCGTGAAGAAAAAAGAAAAAATAGATTTGCAAACCTAAGTAGCCTATAAACATGAAAGAAAAAAGGGATGCAAATCAAAAGGTCAATCCAGCTTTCATCTTAGCAGGGCACGTGGATTTGAAATAAATTTGATATTGTTAGCTTATATCTAAAAACAAATCCCCCCCCAAACACACCTTCAATTTATTACCAAACAAAATATTCCTACCATGTAAGACAACCGAAAACAAAAACCGTTCTAATGGTTCAAAATTTAGTAGTCCTATCAATCCTTTCCTCTTACACCATTGTGAAGCTTTCCTTCTACCAATTATCCCTAATTTTCTAATTAATACATGTACAATTATTAAATGGTAAATTATTCTTCATTCCTTTTCAAAGAAATGAGTATACCAAAACCAACTTGTCATACATATATAGAAAGGTATCAAAAACAAAAAGGATGATAATGAATCAAAAGAATGTTGATTTGAACAAAAAGAGAATTTATGAAAGGATTAAGAGAAAAAAACATTTAAAGAATAAAGATTGACAATAACAATGTAGAGAAGCAAAAACAAAACATATGAATGTGTATCTATAGATGAAAAGAACGAAACTCAGAAATCAAAAACCGTCGGTATTGACTTCAATGAATCCAACTATGTTTGAAACCCCTGCATACATCAGAAAATATAATACCCTGCAGGAAACAAATATTAAAACAGGGATTTAACAATTGTTTTCCTGACATTCAAGAATCATTTACTCCTAGAAAATGAGACTCGCAATCAAGACCCGCCCCCTCAAAATTGACAATTCTAAAGCTTATTCCATGAGTAAAACGGTTACTCCTTTCCAGTTACAATATACTTTCAATGTTATCTTCATGAATTCTGCTATGTTTCAAATCCCTGCAATATCAGAAAATATAATGCCATGTGGGGAAAAAATTAAAAAGTGGGATATACCTATCGTAGTTCCTGTCATAATCAGGGTCCTTGCTCAGTCTCACAATCCCGAAAGATGGCCACCCTATTATGCGTTTGTTCCTACTTCTAGCTGACCTACTACTACTTGAAGAGTAATCAATCAACCACTACCAGAATTTACATCAGAAACCATTGAACAGATTTCTTTCCGTATTTGGCATCCCTGAGGAACCATAGTAGGAAACATCTTGCAGCCTAGGTTCACTTGGTGGTTTTGCACTAGAACACTGCTAGAACTATTAGAGTTAAATATCCTTGCTCGAGCTCGGTTATACTCCTCTTTTCTTTCTTCCACACTTTTGGAGCTATTTGACTTCATAGAATTTGAATTTGAATTGTTCACAAGCTGAGACCTTTTTGTGGCCTCTGTTTAATTGCCACCTTAACAACACCAGGGTCTTCTGACGGTAAATTTACAGGGATGTCTGCCAGGCGGATACGAGGAAGCCTACATTCAGAAGTCTTACAACAATGATTCTGGAGACAGAACCATCAGGTAAATTGTTGTCTAATAAAACCATCGACTGCAATGAATAATGCTGTGCGATACGATGTGCAGCCAACCTTAAATAGGATGTAGGCAGCTGTTGGAACTGGAATTGCTGCTGTGTAGGATCACGGATAAAATTTTCAACATTTTGTTCCATCCTCAGGACTGAACAAAAAATTAAGAAATCTCAGTTTCGAGTATAAACAAACACAGAGGATCAGATAATATGATGATTCAATTTCAAGTATGACTACTCTCAATTTGTTCCATCATGCATACTTTCTTTACCCCTTCCACAAACATTCTTAAATAGCCAAACTTTAAAGAACAGACAATCTATATGGTATTATGAAAGGCAAGAATCTTAGAAGATTCCTTAATGATTTCTGCTAAAAAACTCTAATCAAAGCCTTACTAAGTTCAACAATTTCACTCTAGTCATTGGAACATAATGAATTACGTAAAGATCACCGGAAATGATGGTGTATTAAATGCACCATTGCAAAGTTGAGCACTCCATAGTAATTGAACATTAAAATAAGGTGGATCAGAATATTGCAATTCGGGATATTAATTATTAAACACCACATAAGCAAGCTTCAGAAATGATTAGTTGCCAAGAAAAATACAATTATTTTCTTTCCTATTTCCGTTGTTTAATCAAAGGTGTAGGACAAGGATTTAGTGAAGAAACACACTGGTTCAGACACAGGAGAGACAATAACGGAATATGCAATGACCAACGCCTATTTCCGTTGTTTAATCAAGGTGTAGGACAAGGATTTAGTGAAGAAACACACTGGTTCAGACACAGGGAGAGACAACGGAATAGCAATGACCAATCCCTAAATCCAAGAACCCTAGTGAATTTTCTGCAAAACAGAGGGAGAGAGAGAGGCTTACTGGAAAGGCGCTCACGGGGTTTTGGATTGCCTCGCGGAGGAACTGATCAACCTGGTTAATGGCATCCTCCGAAGCCACCTTCTCATCCGACGAACCAAGAAGCCGAAGCCGAAGCTGAAGAAGTAGAACCGGGGAATTCGGGCTTGGATTCCTTGTTCGAAGAGCATCAATCGGCTCATGTAGCGTCCAAATCGGCGACCTCCCACGACTCCGGCGCCCCAAGATCCTCCACCACAGAGCCTTCCGTGGAACGAATAACGGAGTTTCCTTTTCTGAGAGCACTGCACCACCAATCGGAAGGAAGAAGAGAACGGAAGCTAGGGTTCGTGGAGAGAAGAATCTACGGAGGAGAGGGAGAAAGTAAGGTGTGCAGATTTGTCATGAGAGAGTGGATTGAGAGGGATAGGGTTAGGGTTTGGGATTTTGGGAACGGTAGAGTGGAGAGAGTGCGGAGAAGACGCCATTTATCCAATAATTACTGCTATTTATATATAAGAATAATAAATTTATTGTTCCTTTATGGCGGAGAATAATAAATAAAGAGAACCAAGGTATAGGGCTTCCAATGGTTTGATTCCATAGGTGAACTATTATGTCCGCCAAAAACGCTTGAATAATGTTGTAAGAAAAAATCTCCCATAATCCTTCCTGTGAATTATTTGCTGAGTAGAACTATTGTTATGCGTTACTACAAAACGTCGAAAAATATATCTTTAATTTTTTTGAGGAAGATGTATGGACCATAATACGTTTTCTCTATGGCCGATCATTTTTCTTTGCTCTGCATATTCACTCGTCTTCCTCAAAATAATTAAATATACATTGTGATCACCGGGTCTGCTCTGAAAAAAACTGAAAACACACTATGCTTCTATAGTCTTTCAAGTGACATTGTAACAACTGTCATACTTCAACAATTATTCATAGGTACATATAGGGCACTATCAAGACAATTTTGCCATTATACCACTCCACGTACCAAATCTTTTAGGTTTATGATAGACCTCTCTAATTAGGGGTGATAAAAAAAAAAACTGTAACCGTTAACGAATATAGTTGTTACATTTAAAGGTTAATTAACCGGACTGTTTTAAATAATTTCGATTAATCGTACAACTAAAAATAACAATTAAGGTTACAAATTTTGATAAATGATTATCCGTTGATTATAAACCTCGATATTTGAGTATTTTACAATTTGATCAATCTTTTATTTTTCTTTTCTTTGCCCTCCACTATCTTCGTCCAGTCTTTTACCTCCAACATGTACAACCATTATTATATTTCACATGTTAATTGCACATATAGACTTGCCATATACATAAATAATTCAAAGCAAGGATTCAATCTCCCTAGCAATCTTAGAAAACTCATCGAATTATTTTTTTTATAGTACAAAATGATTATAAGGTAATATATTCAAAGTTTTTTTTAGTTTATTGATAATAAATTTTTATATATAATTACTCAAGCTCATATCTTTTAAAAGAATATATTTTTTATTATTAAATTAAATGTAAATTTCAAGAAATTATGTCATGAATGCGAGGGAATACAAAAAATACATAGTACAACTGAATTAAAGTAAGGGTAAACTACAAATTACTCACTAAATTTTCTCTCCTATTTTATTTATTGTATTTTAAAACTTTTCAATTAGTGATTGAACTTAATGAATTGGTTGTTTTTTTTGTCACTCATGCGTTAATTTATAACAACAATATAACGTGACTTATTTTAATATTAAAATTCAGCCCCATAAGATTTATATTAATAAATAAAAATAATTTTTAAAAAAAATAATTTTAAAAAATTGCTAATTAAAATTTACACCCAAACCTCTATCAACCCTAACCCCAAATCATATCCCAAAAATTCTGTAAATTAACCAGGCAGCCATGAAAGTCCACAAAAAGCTCTAATGGAGACCTTGTAAACCTATTCCAAGAATAAAAAAAACCCCACAATAAATCGTTTTTATTCTCTTTAAAATCTAAAAATGAAAATACAAAAACAAAAGAAAAAGATATCGAGTTGCTGACCTCTTTTCCATGATGTTTTCCTTCATTTGTGATTATTTATAAAAAAAAAAAGAAGGAAAAAATCATATCATTTCACTATCTGTTCTCTCTCTATATAATAAGCAACTATTTTTTTAATATTTTTAAATCAAAATTAAGTAGTATTTGATTATGAATGGTGTAAACACTACAGCAACAAGAGATGCTTGGTGTGATCTACACGTAGGCGGTGGAAATGAAGGAAACTGTTCAGAGCTTGATGATTCCATCAAAGTAGTCCGTAAGGAGTTGTTAAACCTTTGGAATTCCACCAACAAGAACGATCTCATCAGTTTGGTTCTTCTCTAAATCGGCATCTTCCGTAGTCTTCTTCACTGGTCCCATGATCTTCCGAAACAAATGATTGTTCAACTCCTCGAAGCGAGCTCTGGTTAGTAGCTCGGAGAAATCAATACCATCAAAGAGTGATTCAATCTCCTTTGAATCTTTGATCATGAGAATCTTGATTAGCTTAACCATGAAATCAAAGAGTGATTCTATCAAAAGGAAACACTGACGAGCAAGTTCACGGGAGGCTTGTTCGTCAATATTGCAGCAAAACCTAAAGTGGTATCACAAGCATCGTATATACACATCTGAGCTGGTTTTAGCGATTTGGCGCAATGTTTCGTGAGATTTGTTAAGGCCAAGAGAAATGGTGGGGAGTGCAGTGAGGGACAAAGAGCTTCCATGGGTATAGCTCTGCTTGCTTCCTCGCCTTGGCCTGAATGCTTATGCTTCGAGCTTATCAACTTCTTCTGAACATACTCTGCTTTTGCTGTGCTGGCTACGTTTGCTGTTCTCACTCAGCTCTTGTAGGAGAAAACAAATATCCACTCGTTTTAATTTGGCTTATTATACAAAGCGTAAATTACAAATTTACTCACTGAACTTTACTCTTTCTCTTGTTTCACTTATTATAATTTTTTCAATTTAATCACTGAACTTTTCACATTAATTTTTCAAGGACTGAAATTCAGTTTTTCTTGGCAGAACCTCAGCTTGTTTTTCTTTATCTCTGCTTATTTTGGATTTTGCATCTCTTCATTTGTAGGTTTACCTGAGGTTTTATCGGTTAAGCCAGACCCAGATTACAATTTTAAGCAAAAAGATTACACTGCTTCAAACACTGGAAATTCACAGTTGTTTCCTGCTGGGAACACCAAACACTGGCTTGTTCGAATGGATAAGCCTGGAATTGGGGTTGTCACAAAAGCACAAATGGTTGATTATTATACTCAAATACTCACCAAAGTGTTGGGAAAGTAAGTATTTTGTTCACTATGCACGAAAGAAATTTGGTTTTCCATCATAAGTTTGTTCATTCTGGAGTGAAATGATTGTTGCAGTGAGATGGATGCACAAATGTGCATATACCATGTATCTTGGCAATCCCAGTTTGGTGTCTGTAGTGAACTTGATGAAGAATGCGCGAACGAACTAGATGGTCTGTATATTCTTTTTGAATATGTATTTGTAAGGGTAAATTGTATTTGTAGCTTTGGACTGAATCCTTTTATCACAGGCGTGCCTGGAGTTTTATCTGTTGAGCTAGATAGGAATTTCGAGTCGGAGAACAAAGACTATGGAGGTTTCTCTCTTGTCTTACATAATTTTCTCTCATTTAGAATCTATTTCCTATTAGTTTCGGTCTTTGACCTGTCGGCTTGTCAAGATTTTGGAAAGGGTATATGAATTAAGAGGTCGCAAGCAGGAAATGATCTTTTAGTTTAAAGGAAATGCTTAACTTCATATGTCAGATGATGATATATAATATCATATGATGTTTTCCCTACAAGTAAGATAATCAATTCTTATTCTCACAATTTAAAATTTTGTTTTGTATTTCTTTTCCCTCTTACCTTTTGTTAGCTTTGGATTATTTCCCCCTAATTATTAACATTCAACGTTTTATTCTTATTTGATCGATATATATGATTACCAAAGTATTTGTTTCTTTTTATCCTTCTTTCCTTGCAATACGGAGTAACAATTCAGTGAATTCACACAATTTCCAGGTAGTAGTTCACAAAATTCTACGAATCTGCCAGAGGTTTCAGAAGCTAGTGAAACAACCTCCATAAGAACTAAGAAACTTTTCATAACAGGTAATTACTGCTGCAAATCTAATTTTATTATCTTTCACTTATACTAACATAGTCTTTGTTTCCTTTCATGGTATCTTCTTTACTCGTTGATATGCTGTTTTGGATCATGTAAAAAGGAGAAGTTTTGTTTCAACATTGCCTACCCTAGTCTTTTCATATTCTTGCATGGGGTCCAAAACTTTGAGGCACTGTGGATTTGTTTTTGTACCTTTTCTTATTTGCTAATTTACGACCTTTGTGATCTGCTGTACTTATCGAACAGGCCTATCATTTTACACATCTGAGAAGACATTACGTTCACATTTCAAATGATTCGGTGAGCTTGTTGAAGGCAGCTTTGCATTTTTCATGGATAAAGTTTTATGCAAACAAAATGTAGATTTACTTGCTAATAATTTCTATTCTCAACAGTTAAAATCATAATGGACAAGATATCTAAAAGATCAAAATGATATGCTTTTGTGGAATACACCACAGAGGAGGCTGCAAGTGCGGCACTTAAGGAGATGAATGGCAAGGTATATGATTGAGAGCAGCCGTATTCGCGTACTTTATACACCATCATATTTGTCATATGACCTGTAAATAGAAATCTAGAGGAAGGTTTAATGCTTTCTTGTTTGCTATTGTAGATCATAAATGGGTGGATGATAGTTATTGATGTTGTCAAGACTAAACCACACAACTTCAGCAAAGGTCGACCAAGAACGACAGTCTGACCAGAAAGAAAAGAAAGTTGAAGCAAATGCCCCTTTTCAGCATCGACAATAATTTTGCAGGACTACCGGAATTTGGTACATCAAAATTACTAGAAGCTATATACATATATGCCTATCTTTTGTTGACAGTTCATTTAGGATTGCTATCCAAGTTATGAGAGCATGCTTTGGGATGTGCATAGGGAGCCAAATTAGTCCGTTTCATGAAAATAGCCTTGTATGTTGTAGCAATTATATTCCTGAAGTCAACTATCGATTTGTTAAAATATTAATCCGAAATTATAGAATCGCAATCAACTACTCATCCAAGTTTAGCATCTGTCTTGTTACAAGTAAGCACTTATTCAAATAAGTAATTATTCATCCAAAGCCAGAAAAATTGAAGATGATCAATACCTATTCACGATTTTCCTTTTCTTTTGTTAAATTATAGTTGTAATTTGGAATGAGAAAACATTCTTCGTATATGAGATGAACCATTTTCCTTTCCTTTCACCAGTTATATCCACTGCTACATATCCCTTCAAATTATCCTCTATGGAAATCACAGATCAAACAAATGATAGGGATGTGCATTA